TATCATTAGGATATACAGACTAGGGAAGACATATTTGAGCCTTTGGCAGAGTAGGAAGCAACGATTGGCCATCGGTGATCGGTCCTGTGGGAACAATGCTCCGTCCTCTCGAGGACGCGTGGTCAATGGTCTAACCGCTAAGGCATTCAACACATAAGAGTACGCCCCCCCCCCCGTAAGAAAGCCAACACGGCCCCCCGAAAGCAATCATGTGACCCTAACCCACCGGCGTAGTCGCCCAATGCAAACATCACTCAACATGTTCTAATGCGAGATCTTCGACAATATGCGTGCAAGCACGCCCCTTTTTCAATTACTCTCTTTTCGAGCAAGAAACTACGAATAAGAGAACTTCAGTCCGATCTAGGAAATAGGAAGCCAGTAAATCAGCAATGTATTTCGAGCGTAAACATCGATGAATTCCCCGATCGGCTAGAAATCGAGAGCATGTGCCACCCACAAGTCGGTCGTCCTGCCACGGGCGCAACTGACGCCGCCGTGAGGCAGTTCCTACAAACTCTACTACACCTCGACCGTTGGTTCGACTGAAGGAAACACCGCCCTCATGGAAGAACAACAGGTACGCCGCTGAGCCCACAGGGACAAGAAGAATCGTCACGTTGCAATCCCTAAACACAAATTAACGGGCGATTCGAATGGCATTTGCGATTCGTGCAGAAGGATACCTACACACCCCGGGTTGACGACCAAAAACAGAAAAGATACTCAGCAAATCTCCCCGGGATTGGTACCCCCTTCAACATAGACAAATACAATTTATGTCGCTTTCCCTGCCAGCAACATCCAACGATGAAGCAGTCAGCCGTGAACACGTGGCATCCAAACGGACCCCCTACGCAGAAATTTCAAGAGCATCTAGAAAAAGAAAATGGAGGGGGCACGCAGACCCTACCCCTAACCCGAACCCTAACCCCAAAGCACGGATTGAATACTTTATCCCATATGTTTACTTCATCAATTTTTCTGCGTAGACTAAACATCCAAACCTACGCGTCCTCTTCAGCAAGAAAATCTTGGTAACGTCTCCACGCTTTGCGCACGGCGCCCGGTGTAGCGGTCCCATCGCCTCTCGCTATCCTGGCGTCCTGGCACGCGTCCCTGAGCTCCTTAATCTTGCTCTCGCGCTCCCGAAGTGCCGTCCTCCGCTGGTCCAGAGCCACCACCGTGTCGGTGTTTTTTCATCCGGCTTAGCTGCTTTTACGCCCGGCTCAGCTCCTCTACCGCGAGTCCTTTTCGCCACTGTGGTGGAGCTTTTGCGGGCCCTCTTCCTTCTCTTGCCACTACCGATGTCTTCCATTTTTTTCTTGGAAGAATCAGTCCCCTCCTCGTTGCTTATTGGCTCAACAGACGTCCTCGTCCGCGCCGTGTGATCGAGGAAATCATCTTCCTCGCTCTCCTGGTCCGCCGCGTGCGTCATGGTTGCTGCCCACATGTCGCACTGCAGCTTCAAGCACATAACCGCCATGATGCAAAGCTGACGGCACTTCTCCCTCCTTTCTGCAGATGATGCCATGCTTCGCGCGAGCAGTCGCAGGGGTGTGCGCCTGGAACAAAGCGAGGCCGACCATCGTATGGACAACGATGGATTATTGGGGTCAAGACTAACTGGTCGAAATGTTCTCCTTGAGCAGAGGAAGGAATAATCGTCTGGGCCATCACATCAAGTGGATCTACATTGTATGCGAACAAAGTCTAGAAGTTATGCCTGAACTACATTGTAAACAAAGTCTAGACTAGTACAGAAAATATAGTTTTGCGGTTTGGTTCGCTGTGGTGCGCTGGGCCCTTCGAGTGGAAGCATATCAGCTATGTAGGCTATTCGAGCATGAAACAATCAGTTCGCAGCTGGCAGTCAGCTTTTCTTGCTTGGAAAACGCCAGAGCGTAGCTGGTCGACCGTCGAAACGTCACAGCCGCTAATGGCAGCTAGCTGTAGCAGCCAGCTTGTTCTTAGCGGTTGGTTGGTGCTGGGATACTTGCAGTCCGAAAAAACAGCGTCTCCCTCAACAAAGTGTGATAGCGGGCGAGGCCCCAAGCAGAAACCCGTGAGATTTGAGTTTGAGTTTGATGTGTTCAGTACGAAGGGAGCCTCGTTGCTGCTGCTATATCTTGTTCTCCGTTGCCGATCACGTGCAGAAAGTATTGGATTCCGGATGAGGTCGCCTGTGCCGGCTACTGCTGTAGTTGGCCTTCTGTAGTGGATGTATCATACGCAATACACTTCTTTCGCGCTTGCAATCCGCTGTAAGACTGGCATATGTAGTTCCGTTGGTCAGAGTGAAACAAACGTGTGCGCTTCCTATGGATGTACGCTTCTTATGGATGCAACCTCGCGATAGCGGGCCTCTCGAACAGGAACGAGCAATCCTAAGAAATTTAAGCGCGCTAAAGCCGTATTACATAATACTTCGAAGTATATCCTAGCTGTTGCGATATTGTGATGTGTGTCTGAAGTTATCGGTCAAAGCTGTGGCTACTAGTAGCGTGTACACGACGCAAATCGCGTACCTATACATATGTCAGTGTTAAACGGTAGGTCGAAGACAAGCACAGGGTTTGCACACCAGTTGGAAACGCAGGCTCGGGCCTAACTTCCCCGGTATTCGACCATAACATGTTCGATTTTCACATGCTGCAATTACGAAAAACGAGAGCATCTGCCCAGAAAATATAAGACGTGTACCTACAGCGGTAGTAGACCATTCCTACACATATTTAGGAGCGTGGTGAGGGTGTCACAAGCTGTGCGGACCTGCCGACCATTCCAAGGTTTGCCGACAAGGATGGTCCGACAACATGCCTAGTCTATAGCTAGACTAAGCCGGATGAGTGCGTACACAAACGAAGGGCAGCAGGGTGTATTGGGCGCCGATACTTACACACCTACGACACGGCCATCATACTGACTGCCAGCCGGTATGCATATCGGCTGTACGCCATAAGCTCACGTGTGTACCACTGGTACATAGACTAGACTAGTCGAGATACGTAGACGACAAACTCGAACGGGTAGACTACTCTTTCTGTGAGATATATCTACTTTCGAAAAACTCCTGCAGTTTACCTCGTTCTTCTTCCCGCCGATCAACGCCCACTGCTGTAGCTTTCGTCGAATGTGTTCCAGGAGAGCTTGTGTCGGGGAAAGGGGGGCGGTCAACCATGGGTCAAGCTGTGTGTGTGGCCAGGTGTACAGCAGTTGAATGGTAGGCGCGTAGGCGCGAACAGGAGAGAGGAACAACGGAGGCCGCGGGGCGGGACACTTTCGTTCGTAGAAGTCGTAGAATTGACCGCCGGTCGGTGTCAGGGACTGTCATTGGTTGACTGTTGATCCACATAAACCGCTCGCGTTGACTATGGCGCTGACTTCCACGTGAACACAGACACAAACAAATCGTCAAATCCTCACCTGACCTCAAGCGTACCCCTCTTACTGCTACCTGAAAGCACGAATCTTGACCTGAGGCCGTGAGGGTTGTCGGTCTCCCTCACTACGTTCGCCGGAGCAGGCAGGGTGACCCCCACGCTTGAGTTGTTGGCAAGCCTCGGACTGACATTGGATATGCTCTCCCCATATGGGCGAGTACGGCAAGATTCCGGGAGGGTTCAGGTGAGACCCCTTCCAGCGTGTTAGGCTGCTGACTCTGGTAGAATACGTGTACTAGAACTGCGGTTGGGGCTAGCCGAGTAGCCACTGCTCGCGGCGCGTCCAGTTCGTTCCTCTGGACAAAATCCTTGTGGTGGTCGAGATACATCACTGCTGCCTACAGCAGTACATATCCAGCTCTCGCTTTAAATTACTCTCTCTCTCTCTCTCTCTCTCTCTCTCTCTCTCTCTCTCAAAAGTCAAGTCAGAGCCTGTGGCTCCGCAGGGTTAGAACAGCAGAAAGCTCCTCACGACGGCCTGCAGAAATAAGAGGGGGCTTGACACATGATTACACTCTCCGTGTCCGGGCCATCTCGCACCCTGTGCCGGCTCCCGAAAATAACCCGAGTAGACTTTGCCCAACTAAACTGGACTTGTAAGCACATCGTTGCGAGCCAACAAAAAAGCCCGATTACCCACACGAATTGGTATTTAGATGGGCGTGTGCGGATAAGCTCGACCGGTGCAACACCACGAGGGCGATTATACTCCATCCGCTCTCCCTCTGAGATTCTTTTTTGTCGCTGGATGCAAACTGGATGGGGCCTGTTTCCTATTTTCTATATAGTCTATACCATGTTTCTCTTTTCTATTCCTCTTTGGCCTGGTTCGATCGTCTCTCCCGATTTGTTTTGACAGCAGCAGCAGCAGCAGCAGCAGCAGCAGCAGCAGCAACAACAACAACAACAACAACAACAACAACAACAACAACAGTACACCTCCTACATGTTCGTGAAGGCGATCGTTGTCCAACAACTTATCCAACAAGATTTCGTTCAGCTTTTGGGGTGGAAGCATCCTCCCCCTACACAGCAGTCCAATCATGTTGTGTTCGCGATCAACCAGTATCCTCCATAGAGTTGCTTCTCGAGCCGTGTACGCAACGTCTTGATGGGCGTGGCGAGAATGAATGCTGCACAGGTTTCAATCAACTAAATCGTCCACCGCAGCTTCGGGATCTGAACGTGGCACATTCTTGAAGAGTCATGTCGCAGCACTGAGTGCACCAAGGGTACAAAAGAGCTGCCCAACGCTGTATTGACGCCACGGACGCTGTGCCAGTGACATCATAGTCAAAGGCCCCAACACAAGCTATTTTGGACAAACTTGAAGCTTCTCGAACGGACGTCATGCCGTTCTTCATAGGCACAATCACATGGTTGACCTGGGAGCTGATGGTCCCCATGCTGATCTCCAACCCTATAGCCCACGGGTCGAGGTCAAACCTTGCCGGTTGCAATCATTTGTGCTCGGATTCCCTGGGTGGGTTGGCTGGGGTCGAGGTCAAACCTTGCCGGTTGCAATCATTTGTGCTCGGATTTCCTGGGTGGGTTGGCTGGTGTGCGCTGTGCTGATGAAGAGACGAAAACAACTTCGTTTGTGACGCTTGCTTAGACAGAGGTGGACAATGCTCGCCGCGGCTGTTGAAAAAATAAATATTGTAGCTAGTGATTACAATATTGTACTGGAAAAGTGTTATTCGAGCCGCGACCGGTAGACGCTGTTCAACTTGGAGTCCAACCACCGCTACCATTTTTTTTCTTCAACGGTAGCCATATCCAGAGCATGCTGAATTCGCTCCACACTTACGATTCAATCAGCATTATCATTCCCCAACTCGTTGGACTTACCTGTTTATATCGCACAATAACGTGACGGTTACTTGCACCCGGCAGGCTTCAGTTCCTTCACACCCTCAAAATGATTGACGCTTGCTTCTCAGCATCGGTGCTATTAGGTGGACGTATTTCATCTCCACACTCGTAGGTATTGTGGCTCAGTGCGTCGCGGTGTTGATTATTGTGCTGCTGTTGGAAAACAATTCGATTTGCGTCTTCCTTAGGTGTTGCTCACCTCTACGGACGTGCTGCTGCTGCGTAGGATGGCGGCAATGACGGCAGGATCATATTGACGGGGCCGCGACTGCTGTCCGCGATGGGTCAACCTCGACTCGGAGCATCAGCCGGCTCCGTAGCGAAGCAGCGTTCAGGCGCAACATCGACGCCTGAACGCCACGAGGCTGACTCGGGCGACGGCAGAAGCAACGGCAGCGGTCGTTGCAGCTGCTCCTGTCGTTCATCCAGTCGGGCTCGTGGCGTTCAGCTCGTCGATGTTGCACCTGAACCCTGCTTCGCCACGGAACCGGTCTGATGATCCGAGTCGAGGTTGACCCATCGCGGGCAGCGGTCGTGGCCCCATTAACGTTTTCCTGCCGTCATTGCCGCCATCCTACGCAGCAGCGTCAGCGGCACGTCCGTTAAGGTTCCCAACATCAAAGTAGGACAAATATCGCCTTGCGGGTGTGATTGTCTTTCCACAGCAGCGCCAAAAGCCAGATGAGCCACAACACTTACGAGTGTGAGATGAAGTAAACCCACCCAACGGCACCGATGCGAACTAGTTTGCCCATCATTCACACCCTCATAATAATGACGCTTGCTTCTCAGCATAGAAACAGTTGAGTGGGTGTATTTTATCTCCAGGCTCGTACGTGTTGTGGCTCAATGCGCTGCGGTTGGGTTTGGTTGTACTGTCGGAAAGCAATCACACACGCAAAGCAATACGTTTCTTGCCTTGGGAAATGTCAACCTTTTGCGGACGTGCTGCTGCTGCTGCTCTTGCTGCATAGGATGGCGATCATGTCGGCACGATAGCATTGATGGGGCCGGGACTGCTGCCCCCGCCTCGACTCGGAGCATCCGACCGGTTTAGACCTAACATGAACGAGCTGAACGCAGGGAGGCCGACTCGGGCAACCGGACGAGCAGTTGAGACGGCGGCAGCGGCCGCGGCAGCAGCAGCAGCGGCAGCTGCAACTATCCCAGGGAAGGAGGGATACATTGCCCGGTTGGAGCACCAGCTGGGGCACATGGCGGTGAGCGGACAGGCTGACCATCTGGGAAGTTGGTGCTGCGAGAGGCACGCCTGCGAGATTCCCTTCGATCCTGTAGTGCATGTTTTTGGGTGCCTTGGGCATGCTTGCGATCTTCTGGTGTACCACAACTCAAGTTAAAAACTTGCAGCGTTGCACCCATTTGCAGACTCTTCGTAGACGACTTGGTGTTGTCAACAAGTGTTCCTACGGTATTAGTGTGCATGCAGTATTGTCGACCCAGCGTTACCCTCAGGCTTTCGACACCACGACAGGCTAGTTGGCTAGCTGTGCTTATTCGAGAATAGTATATTTCATCGACCATATAAGTCGGGCAGAGGGCATGCTGCTGAAATCTGCACAGTACAAGCTGTGCGAAGTGTGCATGATACTGCTAGGGGTGCACAGCTTTACACGCCGTTGTTGTTCAACATCCTATCCCCCCGTTATCACAGATTATCGTAAACCAGCGAGCCGAGGAGATCCGGAGGTTGCAGAACCAGCTTGGATGCATCGAGGTAGGTGTCGCGGTCATTTTTCGTCAGTATATGTGGGTGGTTGATACATATGGAGACCCGTGACGGGATGGCAATACACGCAGCGGAGGCCGCGAATCTAAGATGCTCTGGCCGCGTCCTGAGTCACCGAGCAAGGTTTCTCGTGCCC